GTGCAGCCGGGCCATACAAGTATACGTAAAATTAGAAGTGTTACCAGAAACTAAAATGCAAGAAAAAAAAAGGAGGAGAAATAAGGACGACAGATGTTTAATAGGGAAGAGAATTAGGGAGCAAACCACATTGGGGCTCCCACCAAACACCCACAATAATTGTGTAAGTTAAAGCGCGATATGTTCTCAACGATCGGTTTTAGTTAAGTTTTAGTAGAGGTTTTACGGCGCTCGCAACTGCATTAGGTCATATGATGAGCGCCAGAAGATTAGAAGTATTACAAGAGAGTAATAAACATATAAAAAAGAAGAAGCAAAGATAAGGATGATAGATAGATGTTTGATAGGAAAGAAGAAGCAAACCACACCCGAGCACCCGCCAACCACCCACAACGATCGGTATATTATTTTGTTCACGACAGGTTCTCTAGTTGTGTCACGTGGTATCATGTGTGGAAACTTGTACGTAGCCAGTTTGTGGAAGTGACCTGCGTAACAAGTTAGTAGACTCTGGGCACAGCAATGTCTTTGACTGTGAGTGGACTGGTTCATAGTATTATTAAACCCGTGGACATTCTCTCTGGTCTGTGCTGGTGAGTATTCCGTGGGGAGAGTGACCACCGTGACGTCATCATGGACAGACGTAGGGTGTACACCTACCCGGAGCCGGACAATATATCCGGGGATTATGACAATTCCCAGGACGGCGGCTACGCAGACGACGCAGCCTACGACTCACAGTATGTAGGGGGGCACACGCGGCAGGATTCAGACCCGCCCGCTGATTATGAACTGGGGAATTCCCCTCACGTCAGATCTAATAATATCAACAATAATAACAACAACAATTTTGGCAGTGTTGTACGTGACGATGACCGTTACCAACATGCTGAACCGAGATACAACTCGCGTGAGTCAGACAGACACGTGCACGACATGGAGGAAGGTGGCGTCGGCGTTGGCGGCGGCGGTCGGGCGACGGGTCACCACTACGAAAGACACGGGGACCGGCGTGAATCTGCCGCGCACGAGTGGCTGCGTCACCGCCGGACCAAAAGTCAGCACCTGAACGGCTACGACTTCTACCGCCACCAGATCCAGTACCACGTCAACCGGGGCTTCCAACACGACGACGACGACAACAAAGACGGCGTGGACAACCACTACAACAGCCGCGTTGACAACGATGACGATGCCGACCGGCGCTCGGTTCAGAGTCTCAACTTCGAGGATCTGAAACGAGCGCGGCAGATCCTCGCCACCGTCCGCGTCCGACGGAAGTCGAGAAAGCACAGCTCGCGGAAACGCCGGAGTGGCGGGGCGTCCTCTGACGACGAGGATTTCGTCGACGATGTGCCCGCCGACTACGACGACGACGATGAAGAAGAAGTTGGTCTGCCCAGCGCGCGGGAAAAGATGAAAAGCCTGGCAGAGCGCCTGGTGTTGGCCAAACAGTTGCAGAGTGCCAAGGAGGTGGCCAGACAGTACAGGTAAAACTCTCATCTTGACCAGACAATACAGG